ATATCAATTTAGAAATTCCAACATTTCAAAAAATATTTAAAATACTATAAATATAACATTATTAAAATATTGTCAATTTGCAATTCCATATAAATATATAATATTGCGCTTAAACACAAATAATATTCTCCATAACTTATATACAGAATACATAGAAAAATTAATCGTGAGAGGGATAGCATAGAGTTTAGCCACTATTGATTTTAATTAGACAATTTGTTAATTAAAATAAACTTAAATTTTTAATAAAACAATATTTATTTCTATTCATAGTTAAATATTAAATTGACAAAAAATTCTAAAATTTAAATCAAACATGGGAAAAGAATAATTTAATATTAAAACAAATATAGAATCAGTATAATTTTATTTGAGTTGATTCTTATTTCAAAATGTAAACATGCCATAAAATAATATATGGCAATGGATATTTATTTATTTATTTGTTGAATATTCCAAATATTGTGCACATAATGTGGAAATTTGTAAAATTAACGTTTAGATTCTTTAATATGAAATTTGTATGTCATAAAGTAAAGTATGATTATTAATTCATTTGGCACAACATATTCTGTATTTGTTCATCATATAAATTATAAAGAAGATCATGGGTTATAAAAAAAATTGGTTTGCAGTTAAGAGACCAAGAGTATCAGTCAAAAATAAGTTATGTGTATAATAGTTTATAATGGTGTAAAAATGTCGAGCTCTTAATATACATTAGCATACATAATATACTTTAATAATATAATTTAATATACATAGCATGTAACAGTAATATGTATTATTAAAAACTGTTTGAAATATCAAACTCAAAGAGTGGGAAATAATGATGTTTTCAACTGACACTTGTTGTTACAAATCATTGATAGAACCGATCTATAAAACAAGATAACATGTAACCCATAATTGCCATAAAAGTGTGTTCAATAATATAAAAATGTGAGCAACGGCTAGAATAAACTTCTTTACGTCAAACTTCACTATCAAACCTACTTTCCTGTATTGACGAACCGTAATCCCTGAACTCTACGAGTGTTTCGTTGAATAAATTATTTAATACTAAATTAGAGTTATGTCAATGAGAGGGGTATTAACCACATATAATTTGTAAATATTATGCATAAATCAATAAACATAAATATGAGCGTACGTTACGGATGCTGTCGTATCCCTGTATAGTGCTGTAGGCATTGGATGGCGAGCTCTGGATTGTGCGGATCTGTCGGTGCGCTACACGTAATATAGTTGTGTAACAGTAGACCAGTGTTACGGCGGGTGGTATGAAAAACAAAGCGGTCGCCGCTATTATAATCAGTTTCTTCTCGTAAAACGGTTCGCAACTCATTATACCAAACGAGTCGTAACTTTGAAATATATGTAAAATGATTGACATTTTTGGCATAAAATCATTGAAATACTTACCGATACTCTGAATTGGGGTAAATGAGTATAGCGTACACTGAGAATGATATAAACCACGAAAACGATACCATTGTATAGCACACCTTATATAATGTTATTCATTACTATGTAATATAAATCTATGTATTCTTTATAATATAGGATATTATAATTAATATTTAACACAAAATACTGAATATCTACTGTACATTGTGTATAGCATTATTGTAAATTACTGTACATGTGATAAACTTTATGTTTAATTTTATTCAACAAAGGCTTAGATCTGCTATATCTTAAGCAATTGCTACATATTGTAAATGTACAAAGGCATATTACCTATTTATATAATTCATGAATATTTTATTCACATAAATAATGAATCTGTATTATTAATTCTTATAAAAATATTATTTAAAATGTAATAGATTTTAATAATTTCAGTGCACAACTGCTGCGTTAAAATAATTCAAAAAGCAAATGTATTTCTTTTGTTACAAATGTAAAATTTATTAAAACAAAATTGCAATTTTATATTTAGATTAAATTCTTCAATTAAATTTCCATATTTTACGTTAAGTTAAATGCATGAATACTCTGAACTTATTTGTTGAGACAATTTTTAAAAACTTATATTCATTTAAAAGAAATTCAAAAGTTGCACAAACTCTCAATCGTAAGCACTTAGACTTCATATAACGTTATTCTATATTTAAATTCTTTAAAAATATTCTGTTTAAATCCTTTTGAATGTTTAAAAGTATTATATGCATGTATATAAATTGAAAAGTTTGCTGTTCATGTCATTTTTAGCGGATAAATACTAAAATATAGTAAATTCTGACCAAAATACATTAAGTTATATAAATTATATACTTTATTTAGACAAAATATTATATATTAAACAAGAATTAACAAACAATATATTTCACAAAATAATGAAATAAGGTTAGTTTGTTATTGTAATTGATTGAACATTTGGTGTTTCTATACAATAATTAACAATTTAATTAAAATTCTATTTCTATATATTGAAAATATATAACAGAATCACATCATATAATATTAATAATATTACTTGTAATGAAGTGTGTTATATAATGTAGTAAAAAAGCTATTCTAATGCTTTTACAAAAAAAAAACTTTAGCGGAATTTATGAATCAAACATATGTTCATATGTTTTATTCAATTCTTTCACATAATGTAAATAAGTTTTGTTTTATATCTTTGACAAAAGTGCTAAAGCATTAGAGAAGTATTTTTTACTGGGCTTATACTGTATACAAAAAGAATACGGGTTTATACGGAAACGTGTGGGTGTAATAGTACAGTTACTTTTTGACCAAGGTATTTTCATGGGGGCATATATTATAGCAAGAGTATACTGTTGAGATTTAAAAATATATAATTTCATGATATATTTCAATACTAAATCAAAACGTAATGCTGTATAATTTCTTTCTTTCTCATTTATTAAGTGTAAATATAAACTATGTTTTCTAAGAGTACACGTAAATGAAAAAACATTGAACGAATTCAAAGTAAGATTTAGTATTAGAAAATCTTAAATTAGATTCAGATCCTGAGAGAAATGAATTTTAAAATTAACATTTTCAATAATTATGATTCTATCAAATGTTAATATTTAATTATTTTAGAAATGCTGTACATTTTTGAAACTGTTTACAGAATTTTTTTGTTGATAAAAAATGTTTCCTTTTGTAGATTTGTTGGTAATTGTTATCTATTAAGAACAGAATTTTATGATAACAAACATTAGTATTACACAACTTCTGCTATACTGCACAATACATGAGTAAATTTTAGTTTTAACTCTTGTCTTTCAATACACAGATTATCTATTTTCATATTTATATAACACTGTATTATTTGTTTATTTTCAAAACAATAATATAATTTATTTGTTAAGTTGAGCTAAAAACCAATCGTATGTTTCAATAAATATCCCTGATTTACAATATATAGTAAATGTATCTTTTATTTAATTCTACTAAAAAAGAAACTTTATTTAAAATATTGATCAATTGTTTAGTGTTTAATAATATCATATTAGGAAAACTAATATTTCAAAAATATGTTTTATTCAATAATCCAATTTAATTTACAAATTATTTAATAATTTACAATATTAAATCATCGAATAAATAGTGACATTAATATTATTGCAAGAAATCATTATATGTATAGAAGTTTAGTAGTATCTGAGAGAACAATATAAAGACATGTATAATATTATGAAAAGTATAATTGAAACCTATTTTTAGAAAAAAAAATTCAAACGAAATCTATTGAAGCAAACAATCAGTAGATATAAAGTTTTACAAATTAAACATTTCTTCTGTCTTTGAGAGTTAAATAACTATTTTTTATAATTCATTTCTCAGAAAATCAATTGAATATACATTGAGAGACACTCTGTTTGCAACACTCGTATAGATATTTCCAACGGCTATTCATATTAAAGTAAAGTTAAAGAAAAAATAACAAAACATTGAAATCCAA